GTTTTAGAGACAAAGAAAGAAATATCACAGAATCAGAATCAGAATCAGAAATACTTTAATAATCCCCGTGGGGAAATTACTTGAAAGGTGGGTACAAGAAACAGGAAAAACAGGAAAAAATTAGATAGAGGTGAATCATCAGTTGCTTTGCCAGAGCCAGTTCGGACTGCACAGTTAATAAAAGCTGCAACAGCAGGGCCACACACAGGGCCAGGATCAGTAGTTGCCTTATGCAGATTGAGACAGAAATGGTAGATGTAAGACCCACTGCAGGCCAGTGTATGTATTTGTGCGTTTGCCAGAAAGATTAGTTCATTAATGTGTCAATGTTAGCCAGCAAGCTAATTTTCAACTGAAGTTCTTTGGCAAGGTGTTCAAAATCCAAATCATCACATTTTTGTGTCTGTGACCTCCGCTCCTGATGACAGACATCAGTTAGAAAGGAAGTGGAGTGAGACTAGGGAGGCCAAACTTTTTGTGTTGCTGAATATTCTAATTTAAGTTGTGCTGTTCACTGTTAGCTAACAGTTAGCACAGTTAGCTATCCAACTTTAAAGGTCCAGTCTTTTCACCCAATAAATGAATGAATGTCTTATTGGAAAAGGTTTTATCCTGTGTGTTTCTCATCTGATGAATGATGACACCATCAGAAAACATCACTCGTGTAGATTTACTTAGTGTTTAGAGTGATTTTCACTCTTACATTTAAACATTTTGTTTAAAGAACAATAAGACTTCATACATACAGTATATAGACTGACTTAAACTTTTAAGTCGGTTTCTCAATGTTCCAGAAATGCCTGGAAACACAACCTTCTGGCCCAAATCAGACATAAGTCAGTAAGTGTTCTGTATATAATCAGTGACAAAATAACTGTCTGCCAATTGAGCCACTGTTTCCCTGTCCCACTAGCACATAAACCAAGAGCTACTAAGGCAATAAGAAATTCACTTCAGACGGACCCTTCTACGATCTCATTTAAAACTTGACCCATTGTTGTTTCAAAGTGACCACACATTGTCTTGTGTTTGAAAGAAATGGAGCACCCAGTGCTGCATTTTCATCAATTTCTATTTAAACTATAGGCCAACCAGTAGAAACCTGAGGGAATGTTGCCGGTGGTTCATACAAGATCTGATATGAATGAATGATAATCCCTCAACCCAGTCTTCTAAAAGATAATGATCAACATACAGGTCTCTAGTTTGACAGCAAGGGTGCAATTGGCAGATAAGGCAGAACCACAATGTTATCTTTGCACTCTTCCGTTATGAATATTTTGCTGACAGTCATTGACAGCTTTGACTACTACATTACTGTCAGACAGACAACTGGTTATCAGATCTTTTTTCTAATTCATAGAAGCTCTGAACAGGGTGCACAAACAAAATAAGTGCACTAAACCCAGGAGGATACTCTGATATACAAATCAAACACTACTACTAAGCTGCAGAGGTCATATCTTGTGAAACTTTGTCATGAGACAGATAATCTGGTTTATCTGGCTCCTCCTAGTGTGTTGAGTCTCATTCCCAGGAGACCCAACAATCAACAGTCTTGAAGTCACCAACACAAAGTGTTGGTATTTGATGACCTGAAAATAGGACCCAGCCATCAACTATCTTTCTTGGCTCTGATTGGTTGGTTTCCTTCAGGCCCAGTGGATTCTCACAAATGCCATTTGAAGCACTAGGAGGAGTCAGAGGAACCTGATTTTTATCTGTCTCATGTGCTACTGCCAGGATATAGTGAAAGTTATTTTTCTAAAAGCCACGTACTGCAGCTTTTATATTATAATAATATCAAATTACAAAGAACTCACTGATGAGTAGCAACAATAGGATATAAGTTATGGACTATGTGCTATTTCTAATAGGCAAAACTGTATAAAAGTCACATGTTTTACATACAGTTTAACACTAAAATACTATGATATATATATTTTTGTCTAGAAGAATATTTATTTCATTAATAAATTGTAGCCTTGCAACCATGCAAGTATCCAAAAAGAATAAGAAAAAACACCACGTTACTAATTGTAACACTTTTACACAAAATTATGATTTTGTATGCATGCAGAATTGTAACTGGTTTAATAAGCCTTCAAAAACAATATACCATAAATGAGCCAATATGAAGGAAAGACACAGCTTTATTTTTAAGATGAGATTTCAGTGTGTCCCGTTGCATTCATGTGCATAAGCAGTTCCCTCAGGTAAATGCAATATGTTTTGTCTGGAGGCTGCTGGGTTTAAAATCTACTGAAATAACATTATGTGGAGCTGGTGATATTTTATATGACCTTTTCAACCAGTTCTAGCAATACTGTCGTGGTTCAAAAACCGCTTTACTGATATCCTTAATGCTTCTGCTGTCAAACTGGAGGCCTCATTCTCCCTAAAAGACCCCAGAGTGCAACATCCCCTCTCCAGGCTGTTCAGACTCCTCCATTACATCAGCAGGCCTAAGTACAATCTCAGCATGCAGCTCAACTTCCAGCACTGGAAAAACATGGACAGCCTCTCAATTTATACTCATAACCCCATCACTCAAAAGGCAAAAAAAAAGTTCACATGAGTTGACACAGTTTTTCAGCTGCTCAGATACAGTACCTGTCTTTATGGTGTTAGACTCTTGAGTCCTGAGCTGGTGAACAGATGTTTGTCCTGCATGCAGCCATGCAATAAAATGAGAACAGCAATGACATCCATTCAGAGAACGTAATGAAGAGAAGTGAACAACAGTAAATGGACAGTAGATTTAAGACCATATCATATCATTTGATACCAACATTTTTAACTGAAATTACTCCTTTACAGTCCTTCCTTTCCTGTCATAGTTGCATCAGCAGAGCATTGTTTTGTAAATCAAAGCTAATCCCAAATGAATTACACAGCAGCATGTCACAAGAGAAACAGGCTTGTTTTCAGTAAAATGTGACCAGAACAGTGATGGCTGTGTGAGAGGCAGGGGCAAAAAAGAGAACCCCAGAGGGCACTTTATCACATTTTGCCCACTGGAAAAGCACCCTAGACAGCACAAGAGTGATGCACTAGAGTGATGTTAGTTGTGGGTACCTCAGGGCACTATCTTATTCATCTGTTTTTCCTTCGATGTGCTCCCTCTTGGTAATACTATGCATAGTTTAATCTCACTCATTCAGATAAACTTATATACACTTAATGCACTTTGAGTACATTCTCACAACATTCCTTTTACTAGACTCTTCTACAATATTTTCTAGAAACATTTTCTTTTTTTTCAAAGCTAGCTGCTTATTGCAATAAATATAGCAAAAATATTGGGCTTTTATTAACCTGAGCTGTCTTGCACCATGTTATAATGTCATAATGGATGTAATAACCATTAATGCTAATGACAGAGCCTTAGGATGGTGGTGTCAGTTGGTCAGAGCAGGATATCACAACACTAACTGGCCAAATTGCTATGAAATATTTTGTGGAGATTCAAGATCCCCACAGGACCTAGCCTTAATCTTTGCCCTATCACCAACAGCCCAAACTTTGTACTTCTCCACAGTAAAAATCTAAATATAAAGAGCAGGTTAACATGAGATTTACTGAGTACATTCAGGGTCCCAAGTAGACAAAAATTTAGTGGTAAAAGTTTGTTTGGCTTAACAATAGCAAAATATGTAGTACTGTATGTTGTTTGTTCTTTCCAACACTTTGTGCAGCATAATGAACATTGCAACATTGAGTTTTAGACCTTTACCTTTGTGATATACTGTATGCATTTCATCATCTGTTTGTTATCATTTGCTGTAATTGGGGGGAAAATGACAAATTATTTTAAAAACTGGTTTATTTCATTATGGCACAGCA